CTCTCTGCCCCAAGACTGTAGCACTCAAAACTGGAAAACAAGGTGCTTTGCACACAGGTCTCCAAACAGGTACCGAAGTACTGGAAATACTTTTTACAGGAGTGCCATTTGTACTTTGGCATTTTGCTCGCAGACACAGCAGAGTTCAACGTAGCATTTAAGCATTGCCACAACGAGACAGAAAAAGGTGGAGTCCCCAGTGTTTAGAGAACCATCCTCAACTTCGAAGTAACGCTTACCAGAAAGGGGAAGTGAACACAGAGAATACATGTTGGGGGAGGGGGAAAGGGCATACTAAAAAATGCAAAGGATAGACTGGTACCAGCCTAGATGACAAACTGAGGTATCCAGGAACAACCATGGACTGCACTAATCAGTGTCTGGAATGGAAGGAACAAATGTCATTTCATTACAGAAAATCAGAAGCAAAAATATTCTCAAAGAAGATATAAGAGAACACAACATCACTGTCATAGCCTGATGCTGAAATCTTCTGTTTCTTATAAATTTTATTTTTATGAATACCAGCATGCCTTCACTTGCAGGAAGCTTGCTGGAGGTCCCAGCAACTTGCAGTAATAAGAGGGTTTGAGGTCAGAAATGAAAGCTTGTAATTCATACTGAAAGCAGACTAGAAACTGTTTAATTGTTTCTCTGACACTTTTTTCCCCTCAGACCTGATGATTACAGTGTATGTCCCCACATCCACATGCTCACATCTTCCTAGCTAACAGAAACCTTTCTTTGAGTACAGAAGAAACCCAAACCACCATCACTTATTTAAAATTTAAGCCGACTGCCAAGGCCTTAGGCATGTGACTCAATGTAAGTGTTCTGCTCCTGTGAATGCTGTCACAGCTCCTACTTCACCTTAGAATTGAGATGAACTTGTTTATGACTCAAACTAAGTATTTATGTCAAGAACCCTACTTTTACCTCTGACGGCGACTAGCGGGAGAAAAGTCAACAAGACTGCATTGAGGTAGCAACCCTTTATGTTAAATCCTTATATTTCCTCCTGCCTCCCTCTGAACTGGAGTAATTCAAAACTCTAATTTCCTTGGCAGAAAGGCTGGTCTTTCTCCATAAAATATAAATGTTGTCTCAACTCTAGGCCAGGATCAACAAACCTTACTGTGAACATCAAAGTAAGGTTTTTTAAAAATATCAGTACACCCCTTTCATCTCCCCAAAAGCTTTTGCTGCACACTATACAAGGCTCTAATCAAAAAGACATCACCAGACAGTTAGCACCCTTCAAGAAAACACTGTTTAAGTAACAGACAACTAAGCAGAAGCCCTTAAAGCTTGTCAAATCCAAAGGACTTAATAAGCAACTTTTGTAAACAGGATTAATATCCAACATGATATGAACACTGCAAAGAATAATGTAGTTTGAGACATCAGCAGATTTCTTAAAAGATGGAGGGGAAACCCTACTCTTGCATAATGCTGACAGAAAGTATGTTTCTGCTATTTTTAACATCCGCTCCATTCTGTTTTGTTTTTGATAGCGAGTCTAAGTAAAAACTACAGCTAGAAAACAGTTACAATACAGTTACACAAGAAAAGCAAAGCACTTCTTTAAAAAAAAGCATCAAAACACTATAAACTAAAGAATTTAGAGTCTTTACAAACAATCTTGTCCCGTACCCAAGGGCTGACTACCGACCCAAAAGACTAGCCCAAGTGTTCACAAACACAGTTGTCATACATGGATGTCAAAACCATCTCTCTGTAACTGAAATCCTTATGTGCTGTGCACACAACAGGATTTACACAAAAGCAGTCTGTCAGAAAAAATGTTCTCATGTACAGAAGAAAATGGCAGTGTCACAGCTAGTTGGTTTACCCCCTTCATATCACCTCTTTTCCCCACGTTTTTAAAGCACTAAACTCAGGTCCAAAATCATTGAGTTAAGCAGTGAAGACTCAAGTGTTTTAAAAAGGAAATTTATTTCACTATATATTTTCACTTCCCCACCACCGAAATATTTCCCTCCTTCTCTGTCCAATCTGCACCTCTTAATTCCCAAACACATAGCAACCATTGTCTGGTTTTCTCTCCTGTCTGTCCTGAACGGTAGCAATTAATCAGCAATGCAAGGAGGCTTGCCGTGTCCTGACAGAACTTAAAGACTTGATACCTAATAATCAGTGAAGAAAAATCAACACAACTTGGCCAAAGGCACCAAGACATTCTAGCAAATGCAGTCAAAATGCCACTGAGACAGCCTTCCACTGCTGTAGAAACTATATCACCACATAAAGTTCCTATATTTATGTCTTTAAATAACATCTATCTATAACCCTAAGAAATTCGATCACAGTATCAAAGGTGTATTATCTGTATTCTGTATTAACATAAAGTCAGACATGCAACTGCAGAGATATTTTGAAGTATGCTAGAAGGCAATCCTTTTCAGAAAAACTACTTTGAAAAAATTTGACACAACAGATTTCACAAAATTTTCTCTCCTCAGAAGTCAGGGATTTGGAAAAATTAATCTTATTACCCCTTAATCAGGTCTGAAAGTCATTAGCAAGACAATCTTACTTTCTTTGTCTTCCTTCTCCTACAAATTTCCTTTTGCTGTGTCAAGCACTCATGTTGGTAAACCAGCTCAGCAAGTTCATCAGACATAAAAATAACCTTACGCAGATACAAATAACCATACATAAAGTTGAGAGCACCAGCAGCTTGTCATGTAACAAAATGGAACAGAAAGGAATGGTGAGGGCAAGGAACCTGTCCTTTTGATGACAGTCCGCATTTTATCAGATCAAGCACATCACAAACTGCACCCCACCAAACCAGGGAGAGACACCTAGTATTAGACAGAACACTCTGAGTCAGTCTGAGAGCTCCTGTAAGTCAGGCAGGGCTACAGCCTCTAACACCTTAAGAATCTTACATTAAATTTGACTCATCTTCTTGGAAAACAGAAAACTGAGGTATCAATTTCATCAGAAAATCACATTTTTCATACATATTCAGCTGTGAAACACCACATCCCTTCAGAAGCCTGCAGATTTTCTCTGTACTGATTAGTTTTGGTAAGAGTCCACAACAGCAATGCTTTTATTACTGTCTTTTTAATTTCAAGTAAGCTGTTTTCAAAGAAGCTTAGCAAACTACAGAGCAGAGGCAATTCTTCTGAGGATGGAATTACAGCCAGAGAGCTTCAGCAGATTTTGCTCCTGCAGGCAGGATGCAACTGATGGTTTAAATAGTCTAAACTTGTTTCTTGACTTCAAATTAAAAATCTGTTTTATAAGTTGTCTAGTTAAAATACTCAATTAGGCTAAGCATGATTATTATTTTTTTTTTTTACATCGGCATTTCAAACAGTATTCTAAGTGCAAAAAAATTTGAAGTTTGGAATTGAAGTTTGGATATACTTAGGGATCAGAGAATTCAGAGATTGGGAGACATCACAGCGGATTTTTAATTTCTAAGTAAGAATTTAAGCTTTTACACTGACAGATGATACAAAAACATTATAAATAGCCATTAAATTTTCCAGAACAATTCCTTACTTAAAAAAACCCAAAACCCTAAAGTTAATGGTTAAATTTGTGACAGAATAATGTATATTTACCTGAAAAATTTCACTTCTATTTTAAGATTTAAAACTATGCAACTTCCAATGGATTTTCAATTTATTTTTGGAAAAAGCTATGGTCATATGAATTTTTTTAGAAAATCGGCTTTGCAGTAATTTTTTCTGAAAAAAACACAGGGGCAACACCTTACACATTGAGGACTAAATGCACTAGAAAGGGTCATGTGCACATCGATACCTGAATTTCAAAGAATATATTTAGAGTTTGGCTGTCAGGAATCCTACAAGGAAAAACAGTGGATTCAATCTTTAAAGCTTAAAAATGTTGCTTGCGACTACACTATAAAACTGATTTTATGCGTTAATATAATGCCAACCCGTGCAATCACGAGACAAACCCCAAAGCACTTCAGCGCTGTTTCTTAAAAGGGTAAAGGGCTTCCTGTGCATTTCAGGCTACGCAAGCAGCTTCCGGACAGCCACCGCCGGGCGGGCACGCCACGACGCCAAGTGCCATCGCTGGGCACCGCGGCTCCGCGCTGCACACGAGCTCAGGGAGGGCTCTGCCAAGCCCGCGACACGGGGAGCCTGTCGCCGGGAGATGGCTCCGACCTGGGGCACTCCCCAGCCTTTTCCCGAGCTAGAGCGGGCGGGGGTCCGGCCCAGACTCGGTGACCGAGGGCAGCTCCCGCTGCTTTCCAGCCACGGGAGGGGCAGCCCTCCCCGCCGACACCAGGTTCATGGCGGCAGGGTGCGGTCCCGAACGGAAGGACGGCTGTGCCCGCTCCCACTCTCGCCCGGGCTGCCTGAGAGCGCAGACCCGAAACCCAAGCCATTCACGTATCAGCAGCAGCAGGCTGCGTCGCGCCCCGCGCGGCAAGGACGGGCCAGGCCGCTCTGTCCTTCCCTCACCTGGCTTGGCCGGTTTAGGTGGCGGCTTAGACATGGCTGGCCTAAGCACGGACGGGGCAGCGGTGCGACGGCGATCGGCTGCCCGGGCGCGGGGCCGCGGTGAGAGGCGGCGGTGCGAACCCCGGCAGCCCCGGGCGCGGCGCGGCAGCGGCAGCAGGAGCCGGGACGAAAGGCGAGTCCCGGCCGGTCCCTCCCGCCCCCGCCGGCCGCCGGAGCTGCCCCGGCGCCGGGCCGCACGCGGCCAATCAGCGCGCGCCGCGGGACGAGGCCCCGCCGCTTCCCTCTCCGTCTCGCTCCGGGCGGGGCCGGCCCGAGCGGCTGCGAGGGGGCTGCTCCCTGGACGTCGGCTGGGGCGTCGTGTGCGCGGGACCGCCCCGGCTCGGGGGCGGGCGCGCCCCGCGCAGCTCCGTGACGGGACGTAGGAGGCGGGCGCTCCGCCTGCGCGGAGCCTCGCTGGCGGAAGGACGTGCTGCCAGCACCCTCGCGGCGTGGTTGAAGTTAAGTGCGAACTCCGGAGGCGCTGGAGCGGTGGAACTGGTGGAGCTGGCGGAGGCGCGGCCGAGACCCTCCGGCAGCGCCGCTGTGTGGGCCCATAGCTGTGAGAGACGTTCCCGGTCCGGGTCCGGTGCGCCTTCGGTGGCCCCGTGCGGGCAGCGTTGCCGCGGTATGCCCTTAAAAATGGGGTGACTGCAGTGATGTGCTAGCGCTGCCATGGGGTTTGTGCTCTATTTAAAGAGAAAAATTGACCCAACCTAGAGGAGTGTACGATTTCTGTTTTGCAGCATTTGTGACAAATTTGCTTTTGAAATTTGTTTTACACATTACTCAGGGCGGCAGAAGAGTTGGTGTGTTTTTTATGATGGTATTTTTTGCCGCAGACTGGGATTAATTTGCATATAGACAATGACAAAAATTAAAGTCCAAAGGCGAACGTATTTGTCCGGTTTGTTGCGTAACACTCTTTGTGGGACAAAGGGTAGTCCTCTGCAACACAAACCTTACTGATGGCTTTTAGAAATGAGCTTTTTAATCTTATTTTTAAAATAGAGTATCATCACTTCTTAAGGAAAAAAAATTATCCGTCTTCCCCCTTTGCATTGATATGAGTTATGAGCATTCAATGCATCACTGAATTTGAAAATTTTAATATTCCTAGAAAACCAATGTGTACTAACTTAAAAAACTCACAGATGCCAACTACTGCAGCACCATTGCTGCATTGCTTATCTGCAGCTGCAGATAAGCAGCACCATTGCAAAGCAATGGCTGTCATACAGGTGATGGCTTGGACTAGTTGATATGTCTTTTATTGTTTGGTTTTTTTTTAATAATATAACCATACGTTAAAAAAAATGCGAAGATCATATTACAGAAATGTGAAACAATGGAACTTCCAGTCATTGCACCAAATGCAAGAGGATGTTATTTCAGGCTCCACGTGTCTAAAGCTTACTTTCACAGAAACAGTGCGGTTTTGTTTTCATACTGATGCCCTTTAACAGTATTTTTCCTAGTACAGCACAGATACTTGTTTTTTGGAGGCAGGGAGAGTTTTACCTGCTCAGTTGTTTCAGGTCTTAGATGTCATAGTTCATACCTTCTTAAGCATGACCTAGGAAGTTAGAGCAGGTGAAAAAAGGGGTGTTTGCATGTGGGTAAATAGTTATAAATTGATGTGTGAAACTGAAAACAAACGTTTCCCCTGTTTTTTGCAGAACTGTTTTTCAGCTGCAGTATTTTTCCAGGATACTTTACTATGGGCTCTGCAAACACCCATTCCAGAAGAAAGTTCAGGGGAGAGAGCTGGGACAAGGCAGTAGTTGTGTCTCCTGGCAGCGCTGACTACTGAAGGTGTTCAGGCAGTCAGAAGACAAAAAAAAAAACAACAAAAAAAACCAAAACAAAACAAAAAAAAAAAAACCCAAACAAACTCTAAAGGACAAACCTTTAGAGTTCAGTCTTCGATCTTTTCAGGAGAAAATCAAGTGCTATGTAGTCTTTCTCAATGCTAAATCAGCTAGGATAGCTTAAACTGCCCTTGCAGTAGTTTTAATCCTTCCAGATTCATCTGTGGTGGGCCAGAGGAGGAGGATTTGTGTGATCTGTGATGTTAATACCCTCAGAAAGGGAGTGGTGAATAACAGTGAATATTACATTGCTGAGACCAGGCTCATAACAGAGTTTTTGAACATACTCTTTGTTACAAGTCTTCATGAAATTTTAAAACTTCTTTCTTCTCAGCATGCCACTTGTTTCTTTCTTAATGATTTTGTTTTGCCACCACAGCTTCTGTTTACCTAGTCTTTTTTATATTGTTAGTACTTGAGCTAGTGATTGTGCTTTTCTTTAGGAACTTGTATGATGTTAACATTGTTAGAATCGAGTCTCCCAGAGTTCCTTTCAAATTATTAAAATACTGTCAAAAGTAAAGTACATTGGAATTTAAGATGGGGCATACATACTGCAGATTTTTTGCTAGCATTAGAACAAGCAGCTGAGATTCTGACTGTACCTTAGCAAAAAGAAAAATGATAGACAGCAGAGAGACGATACATTAACTGTTTAGTTGGTATTTCTTAATACCATAGTTGCCTTCTTGTTCCTGAATTAAGATTTTTCACTGGCTGTTGTTTTTGACAGTAAAAAGGAAGAGCTGAGGAGAAAACAAACTATGAAAGTATTGGTTGTTGGCCTTGGGGGGTAAGTTATACAAAATTAAATTTCCTCTACAGCTTAAGACTAGCCTTCTTCTCAGAATTGTATGATGTAATTTCTATTTCTGAATACATATTTTTTTAATTGAATGACAAATGCAACTTATAATTGTATAGTTTTATAGGATATAACTCTTAAGAAGTTGTTCTCTGTCAGCTGGAGACCTCAGGTGCAGGTGTCTATAGCATCTTTCTTGGCACTGTACTGATTTACTGTACTGATTATTGAAAACTGATGGAACATTCCAGAAAATGTCTAGAGGTAGAGAGTATTTAATGTGACTAAAATTTTGGGGAAGTTGTATTGTTTACTTGCATATAACTATACAGAAATGTATGTGTGAGCTTGTACTTATGTTTAAAAGACTGGTTTTTGCCTTGGTGAACTTTTTGCAATGTTTTTTAACAGTGTAACAAACGGAGGAAAAACAACACTAGCAGGAAAACTTAAGAATATGCTTCCCAACTGTGATATAATCTCTCAAGACGACTTCTTTAAGGTAACAGTTTTAATGGAAAAACCTGATAGGTAAAAGTAGGCTTGAGTAGATTTCAATTCTTTTTTCAGTTCTTTTATTGGTGAACTTTTAAAATTGGTGCTGCTTAAAGTAATGTTAATTTCATAAGAATCATAAAATGAGCACTGGGGTAACTGAAATTTAAGTGGCCAAACTCCTGAATATACTTGGCTGAAATAATTTCCTGTCTTTTTTGCCATTCTTTTAAGATCAGGCATGGGTGTATGATGGATGCATTTTTCAAGATCCTTTGTGCTAATGAGTTTAATCATACTGTCTTAAGCCTACACCTATACAACAATAAGTAGTTCTTTGTCTCCCAAGTCAAAATAGAAAAACAGCTTGTGTTTTGACACACACTTTTCTCAAGTAAAGCTCTAATGAATTTAAGTAATATGATTTGGAGTGTTTGTTGTTCTAGATTAAATAAAGTTTTTGTAGTGTATTTGAACAGTTGTTTACATCAGTTCAATGTTGAAGATAAATTTAACTAATTGCATACAAAAGTGTATAACCCTTATGTTTATAAACAGAATATGTATCTCTCAGCATGGTCATAAAACCAACCTTGAAAAAATAAAATTTTTTTCCCCTTCAGCCAGAGTCTGAAGTAGAAACAGATGAACGTGGATTTAAGCTATATGATGGTCAGTAACTCTGATGCACTGCTTTTGAACATTGTACTGAAATCGTTGTGCTGAGCTCCAACACTTCTTCCACCCCATGCCCTCACTCTCTTCCCTTCCAAGGCAGTAAACAGGTGGTTATTTCAGAGCAATCCTCTTAATTTTCTTCAGCTCACTGAGATACTTAAGAAAACTTGCTTAACAAGTAAATAGCTCAAGCTAGGATTGATCTTTCCTTTTCTTGTTTGAGTCTTTTCCTCTGTTTCTTCATTTGTGTCTGGTTTAGTAGCAAATGGTACTATTCAGTTAGAAGTCTTGGCTTGCAGTACTGGCATAAGCTTAATCTCATTACTTGGTAATGGCCCTTTTTTTTTCTGCTTTTGCTGGTGAGCTCATGGGATATCATATTGGGTTTTCCAAGTCAGTCAGAACTTGGGTTTATCCTGACACCTTTATTTATGTCAGATCTCACATAAAGAACATATATTTTTAAATTCATGATAAATGCTGGCTCAATTTACTCTTAGAGACGTCTAGATCCAGATCCACTTTAGGGCAGTGTTTTGTGTCAGGTCATATCTACTTGTAAACAGTTGCTTGGTTAATAGCTAATCTCTCTTGGTACCTTGGTACCTTGATCACAAAATGTATTGCTGAGAATATTGGTCAGACCCTTCAGTTGTACCTGAAAACTCATCATTACCAGCTGTGTAATCTTTGGCTCAACTTCTAAACGTCATGTAAATGGAACGTAAAACTGGAGGGATAAAATGGACATTCTTATTCAAATATCCACGATTAATGCTACTCCTAAAAGCTCTTTAAAAAATGTGTTTGCTGTTACAGTATCCAAAAGCTCACTTATTTCTACCTTTCAGTACTTCCTCAATATATTCTTCTGTGTCTACAGACAAAAAACAGGTGTTACATTGTGCTGTTTTGCTTTGTACACCATGGTCCTTTAACTCTCTGTATGCCCACCTGATGAACCTTATAAAAACCCAAAGGAAAAGAATGTTGAGCATCTACTCCCCCCTCTGACAAAATTGACAAAATGGTGGAGGTGTCAGGATTAATAAATTTTTACAAGTTTTGTGAAAGCAGAGAGCAGTCAGTCCCTGAAGTTTCTGTCATGAAGTGAAAAGCTGTGAATTCAGTTCAGACAATATTAGATGCCATAAAGTTCAGAGAGACTCTACACCCAATAGAAATACCCCAATTCTGATGCAAGCTTTGGTTTCAGGAAATCATTAATAGCAAACACAGAATTTGGGGTAATCCCATTCCCCTTTGTTTAAATTTGTATGTAGATTATTTGATTCTTACTGATTAATGTAGGGATACTTAAGGTTCTTTTTTTCTTTTTTTTATTGTTTGTTTTTAAGGGATGTTTAACTTTGTTTTCATCTAGTACTTGATGCCCTCTATATGGATGAAATGGTGACAAGTATTCGCAATTGGATGAAAAGCCCAGCAAGCTCAGGTTTTGTGACAGAAGAGCCAGAGAATACATGTGACAATCTGAAAAATGTTTATATTTTGATTGTTGAAGGCTTTCTCCTTTACAATTATGAGTAAGCAGTAATATGTAACCTGGTAAATAAAAAGCTACCCTAAAATGGAAGAGGGAACTAAATATGTTATTATCTTAGGCCACTTAATGAACTATGGAATAGAAGATATTTTTTGACCCTTCCTTATGAAGAGTGCAAAAGGAGAAGGAGGTAAGAGTATTGACTTCTTGTTTAAAAAGAGTTACTGCACCCCCTGAACTGAAGCAGTCCTTTTATACTAGCTTTTCTTCAGTGCTTGCAAAATGTAAGCTATTAAGATAATCTATCCTCTGTTTGTTAGTTTGAGGTTTGTTTGTTTTGGTTTTTATTTTAGAGCACATGGTTATTAAAGTATTAAGTACTTTACAAACACTAAAAAGGGAATTTGTTGTCCTGATAAATGATTTAATTCCCAATAGTTGAAAAAAATTATGTTTAAAGTGAGAAATGGTTTAAAAAAATACTAAGCACTCTTATTCTTGGTTAGATACGTTTAATTGATGATTATTCTTAGAGTATCGATGTTCATGTGTGGGTTAAGTGTATGGTTTTGTTTAGACTATCCATTAATTTTACTGTGGATCTAAACTAGATTATTGAGCCAGTGTCTGACTTGCCTCTAAATTTGAGGCAATACTGTGTTCTTGGAATAATGTATGTGCACAAAGTCAGCATCTGCTGGCTGAGTGAAGAAATCTTCTATTCAGCTGGCTGTGGGTGATACCACTTTCTTGGTTTCTCACTACACTCATCTAAGACTTTAGTGTCCAGAATGGAAGAGTCTAGACTAAACAAGTAGTCATTTAAAGCTTGAGAAATCTGTATACTTAGTAAATAGACAAAAAGTAGCTTATTTTGGTAGTAGTGTCAATACAGTTTAATTTACCTGCAATACCTTTGACAAAATTAAAACCACCAAACTTTCACCTTATCTTAAATGTAGTTTGATTGGCAGAAAGAGGTAAGATAGCAAATGACAGCAGAAGTTCATGTCATAGATTGAATTAAAACAAAGAAGCCTCCTTGGTTCCAACAAAAATGCGGCCAGCCTTTCTTTTTTATTTTGGATGAAAGCTGTTATTTAATGAACTAACACTAGGGGAAAATTTAAAACTTACATGGGAATGCATATGTATTTTTGTGTAGCACCAGAGTCTATCAGCCAGCAGATACACCAGGGTACTTCGATGGACACGTGTGGCCTATGTATTTGAAATATAAAAATGAATTGGAACAGAATGCAAGTATGCAAGTTGGTATGGTATCATTAATTTTAAGCTTATAAAATGCTTAATTGTGGCACTTGTACAGTTTTCGTTGAATGGTGGGGTTTTTTTTAAATGGGACAAAATTTTCTTCAAATGTTTTTTGGCATTTAGTAGGTTTTGATGTTTCTGTTAGTTTATATTTCAAGCCTACAGGGATTTTATTTTTGTTATTTAATAATGAAAATCAGGAAGTTAAACAATAGAAATGTTCTGATCACTAATTAAGTCCACTTAACAAGACAACTTGTTAAGATAACACACTTATGTTTAATTAGGAAACTTCTGAGATGATAGCTGATACACTGGCAGAGTTCTTCAGAACAAAACTGAAAGCCTGGTGAAGTCTTGTAATAAGCTGAAGATAATTTCTAGGTGCTGACTGTCCACACTACAGTCTCCAGTTTTGCATGAGAAGTGTCAAAGCTGGGCCAGCTGTTGGGGCAGTGCCACAATTTGTGTGATGTTCACACTTACACAGCTCTTGGACTAGCTGCTTCTGGAGTGGGGCCAGAGGGAAGGGGAGGGAAGCTAGCACACTGCTTCTTGCTGTGCAGTAAGAATAAGAACTGCAGTGCTCTTCCGGAACTTGTTCAGAGGCTGAAAATGAGGAACCTGAAATTATCTACTGCACAGAGACCTTTTTGCCAAATTATTCCATTGCTTCACTGTCCTCAGATAATTACCATTACACTTACGGAGACTTGTACCACAAAAAAATTGTAAATGAATTATTAACTAGAATTATTTTCCATTATGTTGGTTTTTTTTTTTATTTTTTTTTTTTTTTTTTTTTTTTTTACATGTAAAACAAGTCTGGGGAAGAGGAAAATGGGAGGTCCTGTTCTTGGTTTTTATTTTTTTCTTCTCATGGCATTTATAGGGATATTGAAAACTTTGCCAATTGCCATTAGAGCTAGCTGGCATAGAACTCATGAACACTTCTTTTTTTCTTCCTCAGATTATTTGGATGGAACAAAATCCCAAGAGGAGCTTTTATCCTATGTGTATAGTGATATAATACAGGAATTAAACAAGCTGAGGGAAGAAAGTAAGTAATGTTACTGGAAATTGAATCTATGTGTTCTATTCCATGTTATCAAAAAGCTAATACTTTTATTTGAAAGTACTACAAGAATTCTAGAGATCTATATTTCTTTATGTGCTACAATACCATGTTTGATCATTACTGAGTCAGTTTCAGTTAAAACTGTGAGTTCCTTGAAATGGAATGTTCTAAGATCATAGTTGAATCCATTATTACTTAATGATAAAATAATAATAAAAAACCTGGAAAAGAAAGAATATGGGATAAAATATCAATGAAAACTAATGTGTTAGTGGAATTATATTATCACTAACATACAGTGATGTCACTTGCAAACACTGCAGATTAGATACATACTTCGTATTTATTGCAGATCAGCAGATCACATCATGACAATGTAGAAAGCCTGGGTTCCATTTGATATGAGTTGAAAACACCAAGACTGTCACACATGGCAAGCCAACCAACTGAGCAAATGCTGTGTCTGTGACCATAATGCTACTTCATATAACACCAGAGATTTTGTAAGTAATTATTAACTCTCTCTTGGGTATGGAGACAGAGACTCCATTTAGGAGTATAACCAGTGCGTTCTTTAAATTTCCTTTAATCAATCCTGCCTTGGCTGAGCTTTAAATTTGATTGAATGTGTATATTTTAAAGAACATGAAGATTTTGTGCATAAAACTAAACCATAAAGATGAACTTCTGTTGGTTTAATAAGCATATTTGAACATGGATGATTGCAATTTGAAATGATCATATAGGAATGACAGTCATTGTCTCTAATATTCTTAGGAGCTTATTATCACTGATAAACATGCTCAAGAGAAACTAGCTGTGTAATTTACGTAAGTTTATGTAAGTTGTTATGCTGCTTATTCAGTAACTGAATACATCACAGCTAAGCAACACCTCTAGTGTTTGCACTGTAATTTTTGTGTTGTGTAGTCTTTAGATTAGTTGGGAATAGGTGTTAAAAAAATGAAAACAAACCTGAAGAGGACACAGATTGTTGGAAAAAGGTGGGGAAATAAGATGTAGAGAATGGAGATGCATCATTAACAAGATATGGTACATATGTTGTGCAGAGATTGAATAGGATGGCACAGACCACTAGATAATAAATCCATGATTCAGGGAGGAAGAAGGAAGAAATAATTGTTACTAATATTTGTAACTCACATTAAAAGTGAAATGAAACTGAAATGTTGTGAATGGAATGTTCAGAAAGCAGGAATGCCAGACAAATGTGAGAGCTTTGTTATAGAATTTGTGTATGTATATTTATGCAAACTAGGAAATTGCATCATATTTTGTTGCTGAATAAGTAATATCTTAACTCTTATATTTTCTAGACAATAGGTTACATTTTTATGAACCAGAATAAAAATAAAACTATAGACATGGAAAGGAAAGGATGGATATTATTTCTTGATATGTGACAGCTGAACTGGTCAGTGATTGAAATGTAGTACTTTATAGTAAAAGTCCTAAATCTATGTATAAGAAAAAGATGTTATCAGATTACAGCTGTGTTTAGCTGTGTTTAAAACAAAGTGCTTCAAAATATAATTTTGTATTATTATTTTGCACTAAAAATTCTTCATCTTACATTTGCTCATGTGCTGTGATGGACTGTCTGATTTTAAACTGAATTTTTGTTTTTATTTCCCTTTGGAAAGGGTACAATTGCAAGAGATTAGCTAATGTATGGAATGGTTGTGGTGGGCTGATCTTGTCTAGCCACCAAAACTGCTCTTTTATTTGCCCGTCTTCAACAGAAGGGGAAAAAAATGCAATGGATTTGTATCTTGACTTATGCATGGAGATAAGGAGAGGAAGATCATTCAGGAGTTACTTACATGCAGTCCAAACAGACGTGGTTTTGGGAAATTATTTGAATTTACTGACAATAAAATCAGAAATAATGAGAATTAAGAACAAATCACCTTCCCTCCACCTCTCCCTTCTTCCTGGGCTTGGCTTCCTGCAGAAACTCTCCACCCGCTGTCTCCCAGCAGCACAGGCAGATGGGAGATTATGTTGCTCCTTCCTCTTCACAGACTTCTGCTGCTTGAGAGTGGGATCCCTCCCACAGGGACAGTCTTCCACTTCCAACTGCTCTGTGTGGTGATTCAGAAGAGGGAATGGACTGAACAATGGTATCACCTGACTTTATTCTCACGTAGTCCAACATTGGTGCTGGGGCAATACGATCAGTTTTGTCAGATCCTCCTGTAGGGAAAAATGATAGATGAGCTCCAATACAGAGCTATATACATTTGTGGTGTAAATCATTGGAATATACATGTACTGGACTTGTAATAAGAGCTCAGAGCATACATCGATAGTTCTTCTATAATCATGCCACAGTTTGGAGCTTCATCAAATTGTTTTTTTCTTAATTTTTTATTTTATTTTTGCAAACAAAACAGGTGGTCTTACTTGGCTCCTGTGTAAGACCAGTGGACCCATGTTTTAAGAGCTAGGCAGTTCTGGTTTCTACATTTGGAGGGAGTCCATAGTGGACTTAAAAGAAGGGCAACTAAATTTTAAGGGAATGGAGAAGCTGCTTTGCAAGGAGAGACTGCAAATGATGGGACCACTCACTGTGGAGAAGACCAAGGGAAAATGGGCCATAGTTTACAGCTACAGAACTAGTATTCACCAAATTTTATGAATACTAGTCTGGAGGGCACTTTCTCATTTGAAACAGATTGACCAATTTATATTAAGGTAATATTTCACGCAGGTACAGGTGATACTTTATGCAGCAGACACTGACCTTCTGAGATGTAATGCCAAAGGTGGCGGACAGTGCCAGCAAGTTCCAAAAAGATCCAGAAAATTCATTGACACTTCACCCATAAGAAGTAGTAAAAGAAGCAAGCAATGCTACAGCATGGATGCAGAAACTAACCAGGCTCACCTGGTGTGCCTAAATTGTGCATTCTTGCCAGTTGCTGCAGCCACAAAAGATAATGAGCTCTTCTGAGTCTGGTTGCTAGATAAAGTATTTCAGGTGCTATTAAGAAAGCTTACAGAGCTGGCCTGTTACTTGGCATGTTGGCAGAATGCTTTTGGTTTGAAGGTGGTACAGCCCTTGACAGATTTTTTTTTTTCCTAGTTTTCTCTTGGTGAATGCCTTTGCATTGCCAGGTCTGTGGTAGCTGTGAAGTGGTTGGGGAGAAATGCATGACAGAAGCCTGTGGTTCTCTGGTGAAGAACAGATAATGTTCTGGAAGTGGTGTGTCATCTGGTGGCAGCAATTTCAGGCTGTCAGAAGTAAGAGAAAGCTTTGCTCAGTGTCTGGTGTGTATTCAGAAATGTGGGGTGATAGACATGGTGGTGTTCAATAAAAGGCTAATGCATCTTATATAAGGACAGAAATACAATTATATAATTAGTTTGATATTTAGAAGGTGATTTTCTGATGTTAAAATAACAGAATATGACAAGTCATAAACGCTGATGTAGGAACAAACTATTTGTCTCTCAGAGCTTATGATTCCTACTCTAACCTTCAAAGTCTAAAAGCGGAATTTCTGTTTTGGACTATGTATCATTGATTCAGACGCTGGTTTTGTCACACACAAGGTGCTTCCTAATGTACATACCCACTTGGGATCAATGACTCTTCTGTCCATCAGAATGGGTATGTCTTTGGTTTCCTCTCTGGCCTTGCCACTGAACAGACTGTCCAGTGTCCATTCACAGCCTGGTCAGTTACTGTAGTTACAGGAGAGCAGGAGCAGTGTCAGAGTGAAGTGAAAGTGTTTATTTTTCCTCAGAGAGGAAGTTAGTGTGCCAAAACCCTTTCCTATTCCTGCTATTTTAGTTGGATTATTAAATGACTGCCCCATCTTCAGACAGACAGAAGGTATGGTAGGGCTCTTTAGGTTTTAAGGCTGAGAGGATGGGCCCTTACAAATGAGGCAGTCTTGTATCAGCCACAGTGCCAAGGTGTATGGTGGGACTTGCTGCACGACATGGTGTCTGCACCTGGTCAGACAAGTTCTGTCAGATGGGAGGATTTCCTCCCATCATCCAGGGAGGAAATGTAGTATTTAGTGACTCAAGTATGGTTAGACACTGCTTTTCCCTCCCCACAGCTGGTCCTAGCCCATCCTCCGTTATCAGGAAATATCATCCGTCTTCAGTCTGGTGCAGGGCGGGAATTAGTGCCTCTTGTCAGCACAGTGACCTCTCTGCCCCGGCTGCCTGCCCGCGGGGCCGCACGTATAGCTGACGGCAGCCCGGAGCAGCGGCGAGGCGGGGTTTGAGTGCTGAGCCCTGCCTCCTGTGCCTGCGTACCCCCGAGGAGCCCGGCAGCTGTGCCTGCTCCCCGGCACGCCCGGCGCCGGGCACAGCGGGGCCGGGCACAGCGGGGCCGGGCACAGCGGGGCCGGGCACCGCGTCCCCAGGCACGGCAGCCGCCGCGGGAGCGGCTCGGCATCACGCGTCCCCGCCTGCTGAGCGCGCATGCGCACGCCCGCCCCCCTCTCGCGATACCCTCCAGCGCGGGGTTGGCGGCGCGCGCCGGAAGGGCAGGGTGCGCGCGCGCCGGCCGTGCCCGCGGGCGCAGGAGGGCGCGGGGGATGTCGGCCACGTGCGCCGTGTCCCGGAAAGCGCCGCTGCCAAGGCCGCGTCCGCAGGGCGAGAGGGAGCCGCCCGCCAAGGTGATGCGCAGGGGGCTGCGGCGAGGCAGCGAGGAGGAGCGGGAGCAGCTGCCGTGGCCGGGAGAGAGTGCGAGCGGCATGGGCGCGGAGGCCGAGGCGGAGCGGGCGGCACCGCTGAGCGACGAGCGGCGGAGGCGGCTGCCTTTAGAGCCGAGGGCGCCGACGACGGCGTCGGCCAGGGCGGTGGAGGAGGAGGAACGTCTGGAGCGGGAACATTTTCGGAGGATCATCAACGCTTTCCGATATTACGGGTAATTGAGGCCTGCCCTCTGGGTCCCTCCGCTGGCCGAGCGGCCGCCGCAGGGTCGCGGCTCCCGGCGCTCGTCGTGCGGCCCCTCCCGCTCCGCGCCCCGGCTCTGCTGCCCGCGCGGGGCCCAGCCCCGAGCCGCCAGAGGCATTCTGCGCCACTTTCCTTTCGGGATATGCGCAGTCGCCTTCGTACCCGTCTATTAGAAAGCATCAAACCTGAAAAGCGTTTGTTGAGGTCTCTTAGGAGATAAAATGCTCTGAGACGCTGTTCAGCCTGCAAAACAATCGTATGTCCTGCTGGCAAAGAAATGCCAAATGGTGTTTCGATTATGGGTGGAAATTTTTGACAGACATTTTACTTTGCAGAAGAGATAACACCCATTGCTAGGGATTATGGATGCCGTTTTTAATAATATCTTTTCAGTCAGAATTTGCTGGCTCTATAGAAACGAGCCAGCGGTGGTGGGGACACCTAGTTTTAGAACTGAATCTGTTTAGTAGACGATGAAGCAAGTTAACTAGCGTTGCAAGGTGGTGGAGCCTGGCTGGAAAAGTCCAGCCAAGAAAAGTGTTTTGATAAGCCGTTTCCCGTTTATAGATTTGGGAAGCAGGTTTGTACTTCAGCTAAGGAAGACCTATCATGCGGCTCATTACTGTATGCTGGACCCTCTTTTTATCAATGTAGCACAGGCATAATAGGTACGTCCTTGGTAGGAGAAGGTGATACTTATATAAATTCTTCTGTTTGAGGTCTGTCCATGTAAGTTTCATTTGTCTTCCAGGACAAGTGTTTGAGCAGGAGGTTGGTCTGAATGGCCCTTTGATGTCTCTTCCAAAGTGAACTCTGTAATTCAGTTTGGATGTATCAAAGACTTAGTTAGTCAAAAGTATTAATATCGATTGCTACTAATGCAGTTCCGACCTGTAGTTTGCTTATATTAGTGGTATAATTGCACCCTCAGGCCTTAGAAGCTGGGAATATCTTTGTCAGCCTTCTGCTGAACTGTGGCTTTGGGTTGCTTTTGAATACTTGTTTCAGTAAAAACAAAAGAAAAGGGTGTGATTCAGATTTCCAAGATAGAATTTCAATGAAATTACCTCTATCTCAAATAAATAGTTCTAAATTTAGGCAAAATTACATATCTTGGTATTTAATAAATGGAATTTTTGTTTCCTCTTAAGGATATTTCCAGTTAACTTGGGAAAATCTGTTTGAATAAGACACTAACATACTCTCAGATAAGTCCAGATCTTATTCTTGTCTTCTAGACATAAAATATAATTTCATTACTTGTAGTTTTTTGGATTTCAGTTACTCATTCTGCTAGGTGGTTGTAATTTATCATAAAAGGTTGGAGAATAAGGTTCAAAGGTTTTTTTGCTGATAAAATTTCAGGAAGATGTTTTGGAGCTAAGCTGGTGTGCTTTATGTAGAGCATCAGTTTATTTTCTCTCTTTTTTTTTTTTTTTTTTCTGTTTCTTGTCCTTGAATGTAATTTTAAACCAGTGTAGCTCTTGCAGTGAACAAGCCCTTCTCAGTAACATGTGAATGAGATGTTACCTGGTCACATTTCCAGAATGAGGTTGTAACTAAAAGACCAGAAATTGCAGCTGTCTCTCATAATGGCTAGTTTTTTCAGCTTTGTGCTGCTGTATGCTGACACAAGATTTGGGAAACTTCAGTATAACTTGAACGGCTAAAATCACTTGGTGGTCAAAAGGGTCAGTATCTCTTACTGAATTATCTCTCTAGAGTCATCATGACTGTGCTTTGCTACCACTGTCAGTTTAGACAGAAATCAAATCTAGCAAAATCTCAGAAGAGTCACCATTTTTATAAAATTTTTATCCAGGGAAAGTGGAAAATTATTTTTACCTTCCATCAGTCACGTCATCATGATCACAGTACTTATGAGGAGTATGCTGTTAAAAGAAGGTAGCTTAGTATCTTAGTGAGGCTGCCAGAACTGTGGTATGGTCCAGCTGAGACTTTGACAGTTCTCCTGATAGCAGTGGA